CGTCAGCTTAAGAAGATCAGTTTATAAGATCACATAAATAAATATATTCATTAACGAGTCGTGCGAGCTGCCAATCATATATAGTTCACTTAGTGGAGGTGTGTAAATAAACAAAATGTTCATGTTTCTATTAGGTCGTAAAAAGGATAATGCTCTCGGCGTTAATCAATGGGCGTCATGCATTCGACTTCATTAAAGATCGTTCGGAGGTGATTGAATGCATATCTAGCCTTTACGACTTGCGGTCCCCTGCCGATGTATCGAGCCAGTGCTGCTATCCTCCCCAAACAAGTCTGGTACCAAGTTGCCGAACCAGGAAGGATGGAAGGCTTAGTGGCCATAGGCGCGGGGATCGACTCTACGTGTGTGTCGCAGTAGCGTCTCTAACCACTGCGCCGCACGCGCCCTTTATTCGATGGTACATTAAGAAGAAAATCTGCGTATACTCAAAGGATAGTAGTAGAATGGGTTCCACATTTTAGATTAAAAAAAAAGTTGTTTTAGGTGTCCACTAAAACATCTTGCAGACCTGAGCAGAAATCGACTGAAATAATATGAACGCTGATAGACGAAGGATTCGCATTATGCGGTGGTGAACGCATTACCCCGGAATAGGAGTAGCGCGTTCGTTCCCCACCGTAGACACCTGTGGTTCGGAATTTTTCAAATATCTTAACGTTATTGCAGTTATAATATTTCTACTTGATTTTACATGACCCACCTTCGCCTTTACTCTAGGGATCCCAGCACTCACATTCGGTTTGTTTCCACACATCCATCATCCACGAGGATTTTCGAACTTCTCGAATGTGGATTCAGCTTATGCTTGAATATTTCTCTCTTCTTTATGATTATGTTTGAATGCTCATCGAGTTGATTTTCTCTTGAGTCTAGAAATTGCTGCACTAAAGCGTTCCAACGTGGTGTTGAAAGAGTCAGTTGAGCCTAGACAAGTCTGGTACCAATTCGCCGAACTCGAAGATAGGAAGGGTTTCGTGTGCCCGGGCCCAAGGTCGACCCACTACTGTGCTTTTGAGGGTCGGCGTCACTAACATGTATAATATATCATACTTATATGATTTTACAAACTGATCTTATTGAACCATTGCCAGGTTGACAGAGGTCGTCGTTGTCGTTGTCGTTGTTATTTGTCGTTGCTGTTGGTGTTGTTGGTCGATGGCTGACGTTTCGGGGATTTCGCCTACCTCAACCTCAATCAACTTATAGTAGCTACAATCATACTCATACTAGCACCACTCGTAACAGCAATGCTTTGACGAAGGTGAAATCGTCGAAACGTCAGCCACAGAACCAAAAACACCAACAGCAACGACAATCAACAACGACAACGACAACGAAGATCTATACCAACCTTACATTGGCTCAACAAGAACAGTTTGTAAGATTATTTAAATAAATGCACAAACTATTTATGTCGAGGTTAATAGAAAGTCAGTCTGAGTTGCATAATATATTGTGTAACACTGCGCTACCCGCTCGTTGTTATACAATATATTTGCACGCAACATATATCCCTGCATGGAATTTACTTTGTTTAGTACACTTGGGTGGCAAATTTAGAGCTGCCGTAATTTGTTATTATGGCAGTTAACTTGACGTTTCCATCACATTGTGCAAAACCCTGCTAAATGTCGACAGTACCGTAGTTATGATAGGGAGGTTTCTTTCTTTATCACATACAAGTGTGTTGGGAAGCATTCGAAGGTATATAGAAAGACGTAGAGGATATGTAGAATAAGGAAGTCACGAAAAAGAGCAAAATAATACGTGAAAAATCCTTATCACAAAGTGAAAAACATACGAAAAAGCTCGACCATTTGTGGGCTGTATTGTATTCATTGCGCATCGTGAGCGGCAAGGTGAATAGGCAACGCGAACGAGTTAAGGACGTTCGGTGAGCAGCTACGAAGTTGATCCAATTCATCTACAACGGGAGGACACGTAGTCCAAAGTGAACTGTGTTATCAATAATGATCTTAAGTCCTATTAATTGTCGAATCGTTTAAGCCAGTTAGCAATAGGAAATTCTACCTGCCCAAGGGATCGTATACTAATTCGATCGAATTGCACGAATAGCACCATAGTATGAGGTAATACTTTATATAAGGTATTCAATAAAGTCCAACCAACGGTTTACCACCACATTGTGGCTGGGAGGTGTTCCTCGGTGTCGAACTGCAATGTATAGCGGGGATTCATACCCTGGCAAGGTCTCTCAAGCTGAGGAGTCCGGCGTTTCTAACAGTAAGCCTAGCCAGGAGTAAACCAATACCAGAATCCACCACCGCACTGGCATCATAATCGCATGGTGACAAATCTCCTTTTGATTCACAAAGTCTGCGACTGTCTGGGGTGGTGATGACCTGAAGCAGACTTCGGCCAGGCTGTTCTCAGGGTTCCAGGAAACCACGGTGGCTTAGCCAGCAAATCTCCGAAAAATGAAGATTGTGCTGGGACCCGCACAGCCAGTGAGGAAGGGCCATTCACGTATCAAGTATCAAGTATCCCTTAAAGTTTAAGGTTAAGGTATTTCTTAAATCCACCTAGCTTTTATGCCAAGCCAATATTTTTTCTAATTGACCGCTTTCGCTTAGCATTCTGAACAGGTGCTAATAGGCCATGCAGAGTTTTAAGCATTAATTGCTGCACGAGTTTCTCTGCACAAGTTATTTTTGTGGACGGACGCTTCTAGGAAGGGACTCCTAAAAAGTTTAGTTTCCATCTACCAGGTATCTAATCAAAGTGTTGTTTATGCATAGTATTTCAGAGGCGGCTCTCCTTTAACCTTGGTATGACTAGTAAATATGCATTCATGCATCGCACGTCCTTAAGGGATAGAGCAACGCCGAGAGCTTCTTCCTTTCTATTGAGGAGAAAACACGGCCACAAACTGGGTATCGACGTTTTATTTTTTGATTGCTTGCGATGGCTTCCTATACGAAAAACGTTAGTGAGATATTTGTGTGGTCTTATAAACTGATCTTGTTGACCTGATACGAGGTTGCTATAGATCTTCGTCGTCGTCGTCGTCGTTGTTGTTGTTGTTGTTGTTGTTGTTGTTGTTGTTGTTGTTGTTGTTGTTGTTGTTGTTGTTGTTGTTGTTGTTGTTGTTGTTGCTATTGATGTCGTTGGTCGATGGATGATATTTCGGCGACTTCGCCTTCCTCATAGCCTAGACGTATTTTATGTAACAGCAGTCTTATCTTCGGTGAAATATTTGTGGTATTCATAATATTAACATTAATTAATGTTGATTTAGTAATAATAAATTAATTATAATATAATGTAATAAAAATTTAACCGATAGTAATATTATTAATAGTACCACAAATGTTCCACGGTATATAAGACCATTGTTGCATTAAATACGCTTGGGCTCTGAAGAAAGCGAAATCGCCGAAACGTCAGCCATCGACCTACAGTACGAATGGCAGTGATAACAGCAAGAACAACGACAACGAAGACCTAAACCAACTTCGGATCAGCTCAAGAAGAACAGTTTATAAGGTCATATAAATAAATATATCAACTATTTATGCCAAAGTTTATTGAAAGTCTTTTGAGTTATTTTAGTGAGAATCTAGCGGGTGCGTTAAATTTGTTACAGAACATTGCTGTGGTGTTGGCATTATGCTAGAAGTGGTCGTCATGACAACTGAACGGATGCTTTACCTCTCGCGTCACTGCACTGCTACACCCCTAGGAGAGTTGCCGTGTGAACGCTAATTATGAAGGTATTCCTTGCAAGTATTTGTCTTGTTATTGTAGACAATAGTCCAGTGCTCAATGGTGCTTAAGTCTTTAACGATGAGATCCCTAAGTTGTTCTTATTTCTTTCTTCAGAGTACCAGTGAAGGCAAGAATTTTACTGTTCTTAACACGTTTCTAGCCTTACTACTAGTTACTGCCTGCCTTGCTTTCGATGTACTTTTTTCCGGCACGAAACAAGGCTAAAAAGGAGAAAAAGTAGCACGAAAAGAGTGTTTGAGTTTTCACCGTGCACTTTGATCCCTTATATAATACAGTACTGGTTTATGAATGCATGTAAATGGTTATATGAAAAGGAAGAAAGCACATACAAATAAAACACCAATTTTTTAAACATTTCAGCTGCTTTTTCGAATCACTGACGAGACGGTTGGACCGGAGAACACATGTGTCGCGTGGCGTCCGAATGGAAATGCACTTGCTCTGGCCAGGTACATAATGAATAGTCAGCGAAAATTTTAGACTGTCATTTGTCATTTTATAGCAGTATGAGAATGCCTTTAATACAGATTCACGCTATTCGCTATAATTACAGGAAATTGCTCCCAAGGCCTTAATAGAGAGCGAGTATTACGCCATGGATCAGCTCCTAGTTCAAGGGATATAGTATCGTAGTTAGACACGTACCTGTTCGTGAAAATCGACACATCTTATTTACAGCCCAATACATCAGTATATTTCTGAGACATAAAGTATCTTAGTCATCACAGAAAAATCCTTCCAAGCTTTGGTTCGCTAAGTACCAAAGATTAGACAGCCATTGTTTTTAGCTAAGTCAATAGTTTGTTTGTCATCGTCTGCTCATTCAACTATTCGTTATGGTGAATGATAGTACTCTACACATTGCTCCTCACCACTCATCGTTTTGCTAGAGTAGATGCATTATATGTATCTCTTGCCAAATATATTTTGGAATGATCGATTGAAACCCACCGTCACCTAATCTCGGTAGTAAAATAATCAGCATGTGTTTAAGTCGTTGAGCTCACACGAGATTGATAACATGCTTTTGTTCGGCTATCGTTTCGATGTCTTCGGCATCATCAGAGTCGATGATCCACAATTCCAGTGAAATTTCAATTAAAGCTCCAGTTCCAACTGTTATCTATTTTGTGTAAGCTCAACAGCTCAAACATACGATCGACGTATTTCTCAGCAGGTCTAAAAAACGACACGTTGATTCATTTCATTTTACGTGGCCATACTCCAAAATGGTGAATACGTTATTTTTTTTTAGTGCCAACAAGAAAGTCGTTTTGTATGATAGAAGAGGTGCCGTAATAGACGCACTGGATATCGGAGGGTAAGGATAGCTTCATTCTTGTTTTTCATCGTTTATGATGTCAACTTTAATAGAAATGTCATTGGAATGGCATGGGATAAGGAAGGAGATGTGCTCGGCATTATCACTAATACATCGTCATTGGCGATCTTGTGGAACATCAACACACGTACCACTGAGCAGCTGGAGACGGCTATGGGAGCCAGGTGCAAGAGAATATTTTGGATTTTACTTCTATTGCATTTTAATGTTACTTTCATTTATCCACGTTATGAACGTGGGATCACGACTAGTTGGTCCACCTAATAAAATACGCATGCAATAGGTCGGAGGCGCCCTGAAATACACAGGTTCGATCCTCGCGCCCCAGACCCACCAACCCTTCCATCCCTCCGGGCTCCGCAAATTTGTACCGGACTTGTCTGGAAGCATATCAGCACTGGCTCCATACATCGATGGGCCACCGCGAGTAATTGTATAGGCTAGATATGTATTCAATCACCTCGAACGATGCTTGATCAAGTCGACACATCCCTCACGAATTGGCCAATGCGAGAGCTTTGTCATTTATTTTTATTATGCATTAGATTTTTGTGCAATGGTGAAAGATTGGTTTGAAGTTGACGTCGTGACATATGTCTTAGAAGAGAACAATACCAAAGTGTTCAGGGAACTTCCGCTATGCCTATTGTGGTCATCGATATCTCCATTTCTGGTTATTGGCAACACTAATGGGAATTTATTAATTTATAACCGCAAATTGTCCAGGTACAGTAGAACTGTTTTTAAAAAATTGCAAGTGTTCTTTGCCGGCGTTGCACTAGTATTTTCTCTTGAGTTCTCTTCGGATTTCAAGCAATAGGATTGAGAGGATTTGAAGCTTTTCTTAGAACGCTATCAAATACTCAGCGCCATACTTCACCTCAACAATCGTTTATCGTTTAAATATTTTATTAGTCGAATCGTTTAAAATGCCAAAAACGAATAAATAGTGTGGTTTCAGGAAAATTCCTGTCCTTGGTAAACACCAGCGAAGAATTACCGATGTGGCCATAACAAAACAGGATGAAATTCTCTGTTGTAGTGATGATAACACTATAACTGGTAAGCTCTCAGCTGATAAAAGCCAAAAGATAAAAGCTCTTCTGGATAATGGTCGATTACACCGCTTATTTTTGAATATTCTATGGAAAAGATATTTAAGATCCTTTCAGGTTACTATGTTCACCGGAAATTAATGTCGGGTTTCAAACTGTATTTTCAAAGCTCTAAGCTCAAAATAAGTTCAATTTCAAAATAAAGGCTTAAATAAATCAAAATTCTCAGAAATTCACACATTTTACCAAAACAATAAGTCTATTTATACTGGTTGCTCAGAGTGCAAAAACTCTGGACGAGATGATGGTTGGTGTTGAAGGCAGTTTTGACCGCGGGTTGGTTTCTGGAGCATTTCTCGCATAGGAGTTTCTCAAAATGCTTAAAGAAATGCGGTTGGCGGAATGTTTGAAGGGAATGAGAGATGAGGCAGAGTTTCGTAGCCTTGCTAGCTCATTCAACTTTTTTAGCGTCGCTAATGCAACACCTGGTGGCTGCTAATTATGGACAACTATTAGTCCTTTCTGTTGGCCAATTCAGGATACAACCACTGAAGTTTCTGCTGCATTTCGTCGGTTTACAGCAAATGCTTCTCCGCTGTAATCGCTTCACCCTGATTTCGGGAGCTTGGAACAAATCAGCCATATACCGTCAAACACTTAGCATAACCTCCTTCGATGCAATTTATGGTTCAAGAAGTGCTGTGGAACTTCATAGCAATCCAGCCACTAAGCCGATCGTCGCTCATTGTCGACGAAAATCCATTTCTCTTTGAACGCCACGTCATACTACGATCAAGAAATGTTTCGTTCTTGCTGAACAGCAGCATCAGAAATACTTCAAAACAGCGACTTTTCTGATATTCAACCAATTCATTCGTAATCAAGTTATCCACCTTCCTTGACTTTTCACTTCTCCTTAGGGACACCGTTGCAGTTGAGAGGCTTATTGAAGTCCTTTTGCAAGTTGTGTGTGATTTTGTTACAAGAAAACCTTGTCGTCAATGTTACTAGAAGGACGTCTGTGACCTCGGTCACCTTCAAGATTGAATTTGCCACTGCGCAATTTTCCAAACAAACGCTTGCATTGTGCATTAGTTAACACAGCCTTCACAGAATACTTCTTTAACAGTTCCATCCAACTGTGCTTATTAGTTTGAGCCCGAATTCGTGGTAAGATAAAGTATAAATAAAGGATAAAGCTCTCGGCGTTGATCAATCCTTGAGGAATGTGCCATGCATTCGGCTTCATTATGCATCATTGGAGGTGAATGAATGCATACCTGTCCTGTATAATAACTTGAAATGGTCTACCGATGCGTCGAGTCAGTGTTGCTATCCTCCTAGACAAGTCCGGCACCAATTTGTCGACCCGGGAAGGACGGAAGGCTTGTCGAGCCTTGGAGGGTTGTTCTCATGTGTATTACAGGGTGCCTCTGACCATTGCGCTGCATGTGCCCATAGTGGTGGAAATATATTTGTCGAAATTGCTGTTTTCACATAAAAATTTTTAAACGATAAGATCTGTTAAAACACGCCTTATACTGCAATTAATTTATACGGAGAGAAAGCGCATAAAGTGAACTCCGCAGTGATATAATACTTACATGGGACTTGAGCGGCCCGTCCTCAGTGGTTGCGCACGTCCCAGCACAATCACCATTTTCGGAGATTTGCTGGTTAAGCTATTGTGGTTTCCTGGAATCTCGGGGTCAGCCTGGCCAAAGTCTGCTCCAAGTCTTCGCCATCGTGGGGTGTCGCAGCACTTGTGTATTAAGAGGAGATTTGCCGCCATATGACTTTGATACCAGGACGGTGGTGGATCCTAGTATTGGTTTACGCTTACCCAGGTTTCCTGATGGAAACGCCGGACTCGTTTTCAGCTTGGGGAGCCGGCCGGATATTATACTGGTATATGTTAATTTATAGCAGCACAACTTACGAAAAAAACTGTTGGTAACACATTCGGAAAAACGAAGTTCCAAAGAAGTTTCCGAACAACTAATATTTGTAGAAAGGAGGAGGTAGAATTGACATCACTAAGTAGATATTTCTTCGTAATTGGAAAGTTTTAAGTGTCATCTTCCGATGGTGAGACGGTGAAATCGTTGGTTGTATCTGCCAAACCGAAGGATTTAAAAGTTGAAGAAGTAAAGAGGCCTGGAGGCGATGTGAATGTCATGGTATGTATTTTTTTCACTCATGCTTTCTGCTTCGATTTTTTTTGTTTTACAAAATATTATCTCTTACTTGAATGGTTGGATGGCCTGTCCTCACTGCTTGTGCGATCTCCAGCATGACCTCCATTCGTTTCTCTCCGGCGCAATAGTCTTACATAGTGGTGGTCTGCTTCAACCATAGTGACGTCCGCGAGGCTCATTCACAATTCCTAAAATCGCTTTCATCTGGAAATGCAAATGGTTGACGTTGGCCACGGAAACGTTCGCCCATCGTTTGGGTCGTCTTCGATGGGGACGCTTACATTTTCTTGGAGTCCACTCCATTGTTGCTTTTGTCCATCTGTTCTTCTTATTATGTGACCCATCTATGTTTCGCTATTGATGTATATTCTTCCGGATCCCGACGATGGAATAGGTTCCGAATATCTAAGCTGCGCATTTCGGCAAGGCATTGTGGGTGTCGCTAAATTTCAGAAGACATCATTCAAGCGCTCTGTGTGCGGAGTGCAGATTTCCTGATGCTGTTGAACTATAAGCCACTTTTCTGCTGCATAAAAGAACGGTGGAAAGACTGCTAAATTGAAAAAGTAAGCGTTGTCTGTTAATTGGTTGGCGGCTTCTTTGAGTGGCCCGAATGCGGAGTATGCTGCTCTCCTTCATCTGTCTAATTCGTCCTCCATGTTTTTCTTCACCATGTTTATTGGACGTCAAAGTAGTAGGTATTCTGTGTAGTCGGAGAACTATCCAGTTCGATTTGTTCGCGTTTGCACCATGGGTTCATCATGAACCGTGTCTTAGCCCCATCTATGCGCAGTAAATTCTTTTTCCCGGCTTCGTCGAATTGATTGGATAACGTCTGTTCTTCACTAGTACTCCTCAAAACTATGAAGATGTGACCAGCGAAGCGATGCTTTGACAGGAATTCTCCATCAACAAATATGCACTTTTCTCTCCAATCAAGTGATTTCATTATCCAGCTCATTGTGGCAGCAAACAAATTTTGCGATGTTATACTGCACTGTCGAATTCATTTTTCTATGGGTATCGAGATGGTTCAATGAGAAGGCTGTATACTTGTGCGGCTGCTTCTATAACAGTCGGCTAGTGTTCGATTGTAGGACAGCTCCTCTTCTTGGTCTAAGAAAGCTGATAGGATTGCATGCGTTTCATCACTGTCCAGCGCTTTTTCATACGAAGGTGAGGACAAGGGGCAGATGGTACTTTCAACAGGCTTCTATGAGCCATCAAACGGTTTGAACGTGGTTCATACACCAGAATCCTTGTCGGAATCCTATTTGTTTAACTGATTGTGCCTTATACAAGGCCTTCGGCTTGCGCGAAAAGTTTATCTTCGTGAACATCTTGTGGAATACACTCAAAAGGCATATTGGACAGTAGTTACATAGGTAACTTCAATCACGCTTTTTGGGTATGATGACCGCGAGCGAAGCCCCTCACTGGTCTGGGATTTTCTCTTTCTTATAGTGAAATGTCATATGGGTTGCGGCAAGCATATGTGATTCATGGCATCCAGCTCTAAGGAAGTCGGCAGTAATATTACCGTGTCTTTTAGTTGTGCTTTTCTTTACGCATTCTATCGCAACTCAAATTTCAGAAGATAGAATCGCTGGCGGTTTTCACCAGCAGCCATTTCAGCGCCCCAGACGAGGGTTGTGGAATGGAAAGGACTAGTGTAAAACTTTCCGTTATCAATTTTATAATATGGCGGGTGTAGTAATAGTTCCATATTCGTTCTTCAGAGTGGATAGCAGAACATTATGATTGCAGAGATCCCTACGGCACTTCTTTAGACACCGTCGCGGATGCTTTTAATTATGTCGTAATTGACTTGGATGGGCATAAGCAAATTTTTTTTCTTTGTCTTTCAACGGTCAAAATTGCATGGTAGGTCTTTGCCACTTCAGGGGAACGAACATCACATTTTATACGGACTTCTTATTTTTACTGCTTTTGATGAGAGAGTTATCATAGAAAGGTTTTTGGTCCTCTAGGAGCTGCAACAGGAGCTCTTTTGGAGTGAAGGAGTGAGGCCATTTGCCCTCGACGTTCTTGATGAGAAATACCTACTGAAAATTCTAGATATTCCTAGAGTAGATAGAAGAGGCAAAAAAGATAAAGCGTTTAGCTTTGACGAGGGAAGCACTTTGCATTCAATGTGCACTTCTTCCATGTAGTGGTTTGTGGTGGCCTGCCAATGTAGAGGACTACCTAAGCTTAACGATCCAGGAAGGTATCACGCCAGTATTTTTATCCATGACAAGTATGGTCTCACGTTACCGATCGTAGAAAAATAGGGTGGGAGATACATACGTGATCGAATCACAGACTCGTTATGCACTACAGTGTACCACAACGCACCAAGCTTTCTTAAGTGGATACGAAACTTTTTCTAAGGCCGATTCTCCGACGCCTTCAGTTCGTTTCCTTTTTCTCCATGCTGTATCTCTATTCCTAAATTATTATTTTAGCTCTCTAGATTGCCAAACAACAGCAGCTCACACTTATCAGTATTATTATACAGCTCACTTATCAGTATTATTATACAAAATATTTTCCAAAGGTGAGTGCTGTATTGGGCAAGAAGACGCTGTTTCTGTCAACACTCGCCGAAAAACCGAAGGAAGATACATCCTTCGATAGCGATACTGATAGTTCGGTGAATCTTCAGTTTCAAGAGAAATATGGCCATATTGTTGCTCATGCATGGTAAGGTTGAACAGTTATTAGATGAGTTCGTGGGTAATCAAACAATTGTCGTAGGAATGATGTAGGAAAACTAGAGATGTGGCTTAGTAGTTTCATTTATCTAATTTCAGGTACAGTGATGGTTATATAGTTATCGGTTTTGCAAAGGGATTTGTGGTTTGCATATCTGCACATCTATCTGAACTGGGACAGGTTGAATTGTTATCAATGCATTGTGTGCAGACTTTTAAAACGTTACATATGGTTTCTAAGAAGATTCCTTGGTGATTTCAATTCGATGCAACTAAGAAAATGAGCAAAAAGACATATTTTCATTAAAACTATGACTCTGATCAATTAGTGTCTTTGGAAAAGTTTATTGTTCAGGAAATCTTCAATGTCGCTGAATACAAAACATACTTAGCGGCGGTAGCGGCTTGTTCTCCTTTCGGAAAAATCCTCACAGTTGGCGATCATCAGTTGGTTACTTGAAAAACTTGTAGGAACCTGTTTGTAATCAAAGCAACTTCAGGATCAAAGTACGAGAAATGAGGGAGTTAAATGACATATTCGCCATCGTGGAAGTCGACACTGAAAAAGGTTGCTGTTAACTGGTTCCTTGAATTCAATAATCTTTGATACACAGTATTTTACGAGTCTGGAATTAACGCAGCCAATTTCGAGAGTACGTCAGTATTCTTTGTCTGATTAGACGAAAATCTTCCGAATTTTGACCCACATTGAGTTTCACGCCTCAGTATTTCTACTTTTTTTGCTCGAATTTCGACCCGTAACATATGGAATACCTTTCAAATCGGTGCCGGTTATCACTTGCGTCTGAATATAGAACGAACGAGTATTTGGAGGACCGCCTCCGGAAGAGAATAGTGGGCTCGGAGGAAGTCGAAATCCGCCTAAACGTCAGCTTTTCCCTCAATAGAGAATAAAGTAACACCTCACATTTGTTAGATCAACGCCGAGGTTAATAGGAAATCGGTTAGGGAAATGAAGCAGACGTTTTACCACAATGTCCGGCTTAGTAAATGGGATTTTCGTTCATGAGTTACAAGTTGGATGTTTATACTTTCAATTCAGACTCCGTGTTGCAGAGCTTTGACATCAATGGAAGTCAGATTTAAATAAAGTAGCAGTTCTTTTTTCAGATCTTTCTCAAATAGAATGTTCCTCTGATGGGCAGCTGGTGGCGGTAGCGTCGAGTGGTGGTGGGGTATCCGTCTATATCACTAAGATGCCTTCCATGGGTGCAGCTTATGGTGACACGATGGCCGTACTTTCTTCTTTAAATCAGGTCACATATTGGACCGAAGCCGATAAGGTGAGAAAGGAAATGACAGATAAATTAATCCTCCAGTCAGAACTTGAACGTTTTGCATCAGATTTCAAAGTTGTTTTGAGATACGAATTGTTTTATTCTGTTTTGAAACCGACTTTCCTTGAACCTCGGTATCACTAAATCAATATGTATTCACGAAAATACAACGAGCTGTTGATAGTTTAACTTTCTTTTTTTTACAACGACGAAGTGGTATGCGAACAATTCTGGGGCCATAGACTCGGATCATCGGCTCTGAGGAAGACGAAGACGTCGAAACGTTAGCCGAAAATAAATAAATATCATTATCAACCTCGTGTAAGCTTATCAAAGAAAGAATACATATTGATTAGTGATACCGAGGTTCAAGGAGAGTCGGTTTCGAAATATTACTACGCTTTGTGCTAGCTGATAAAAACACCGACTTCTGTTTTATTCTGTCTTCCTAAAAACCATTAATTCACATTAATTGTGAAGCTTAGACCCAAACTTTGAACTGTCACCCATCAGTTGACCTACACATAACCACATGATCTGAATAACCCGTGATCTGCACTAATTCAATCGAAAGTCAATTATTTTATTTATATGGTCCTGTTGAGCTGATGCGAGTTTGGTACAAGTTTTCGCCGTTGTTGCTGTTGTTGTTGTTGTTGTTGGTCGATGGCTGACGTTTCGGCAATTTTGTCTTCTTCAACCAACTCATAGTAGCGACAGCTATACTCATAGTAGTACCACTCAAAGCAGTATGGCTTTGAGGAAGCCGAAATCATCGAAGCATCAGCCATTGACCAACAAAAACAACGGCAACAACAACAACAACAACAACAACAACAACAACAACAGCGACAACTTGTACCAAACTCGCATCTGCTCAATAAGATCAGTTCATAAGATCGTATAAACAAATATATGGATTGTTTATGCCAAAGTTTATAGAAAGTGTATTTTTGAGTTAGAAAGTCAATTATTCAGCGTGGTGTAGTTATTGACATTACAATCGAACCATCTTTGATTGCTGTCGGTCCGTTTCATGTAGCTGTCGCTACGAACAACCGCGTCTGGATATATGACGTGCGTCGCCCAGGTAGTTTTAACATTTCCTGTCACTAGAAGCTTTTATCATAGGAGGATCATAGAGCGTATGAAACTACATGAGAGCCAAACAACAATGCGCCAGAAATTCCTATACTACCTTCTTGAATCTAAATGAAGATGTTTTCACTTTATCTTGTAGGAGTTGTAAAACTTCGTATGGTCATAGCTTATTAGAATAATATATTGACGGGTCCACTAACATGAAATTGTCTATCATCCAGTTTGTTTCTTCTATTTCATTTATATGGGAAGCTAAGTATATCCTGCATATGTTGTACCTAACTGAAGGACAAAGGATAAAGCGCTCAGCGTTGGTCAATCCCTGAGGGATGCGCCATGACCGATGCGTCGAACCAGTGTTGCTATCCAGCCAGACAAGCATGGTACCAATTTCCCGACACCGGAGGGATAGAGGCTTTGGTGGGCCTGGGACGTGAGGATCGATCACACGTGTATTGCAGGGCGTCTTCGACCACTACGCTACACGCGCCCTTGTTGTACCTAGCTATCAATTTTACTCCCTCCAGTACCATTTAGGATTACTCCCATGTGATTTAAAATACTAAGCGCCTTAGGTATAAGGTGGGTTTACAGCACTTGCTTGTTGGGAATGTGATAAACTTGTAGAATAGATTTTCCTCTGCTGCATGGTTATATATTATAATTCTTTTATTATGTTCCTCTGTTCGTAAATTTGTCTAGAATTCAAATATTCGGAAGGTTGGGAAATAGGCTTAAGGCTTCAAGAATTTTGATGCTGACAAGATTGCTGCAAACATTGACATATATATTCATGGATATCATCGCACCCTTCTGGGAAAAATCTTTTTATTGTTTCTATGTGAATTATGAGGCTTGGCGAAAAGAATGGTTTGTACTCTCCAAAATCGAGAATTTCATCGCTAGTGTAAGATAGGATAAGCTACTTGTTAGCAAAGATCTCTCTAGATTCTAGTAGTTTTTATTTCAATAGGTGGAACTCACTATGAGATGTTCTATGCTTGCCTAATGTTGAAGAGCCAATTTTTCTTGGGCGCATTTGCATCTAACTCAATGCGTAATGTCTTGAGTATGTTTTAAAGAGGCTACTCAATGCGTAATGTCTTGAGTATGTTCTAAAGAGGCTATTCTCAGGAACAAATCCTGTTGCTGAGGTTGAGCACCTATCTACAATTGTCGATATGAAACTCAATGGTGAATACATGTGCGTCGTTATGGAAGGAAAAGCTCGACTTCACAGGGTGAGTTTAATGTATGGAAACTCGCATCTGATATGATAACGTGAAAAATTGGACTATGGAGACTACCTTATTGCGTGAAATTCGATAGACGTGCATCACAATGGACTCCCTATATTAGCGCTGCTAGTTTTCCACCTCCATTCACAAAAGTCGTTTTTTCCTTTAATAATATTTTTCAACGTGTAACCTTCGCTGAATATTTCTAGATTCTCAACTACGATTCGCATCCGTCAGTCACTTTTCCAGAGCCAGCGAGGAACACTCGTCTGCTTTCTGCGTCGCTATCCAACAACTTTTTCATTTTTAGCACAGAGGTGTTTTCTTAAGTAGAGTGTTAAACTTTCTCTATCATTCATAAAATGAAGTGTACTTTTCACAATTTAGGCCAACTATCTTGTGTTTTTCTCACTTTCTGAGTGGTGTGTTGTTAGTGAATATCGCCATACGTCACCGATTCGACAGATTCACCCTGATCAAGATGGTTTACGAAATGTTGTTTTTGATGAGAGAGCGGACACATGGGTCTACAGGTAAGTTTTTATGACTGCGACGCAATATGTGCTGCCTCGATCGTCATTTGGCTCCAACCCGTTGAAAATCTCCTTTATGGAAAGAATTTGAATAATTCTTTTATTTTTGTGCAGCCCAGTGGACGATTCTATGCACAAACTTCCGGCTATTGGCTCAGCCGTACATGTAAGTCTTTTAAAACTCTAGACCATCTTAAACCTTAATTCGACGGCTTTTCAATTTTCTAAATATTTTAAGTGTTGCGCAATAAGGACAAGGGCAAAGGATAAAGCTCTAGACGTAGATCAATCCCTGAAGGATGCGTCATGCATTCGACTTCATTAAGTATTGTTGGAGGCGATTGAATGCATATCTGGCCTTTATAATGAGCGGTGGTCTACCGATGCATCGACCCAGTGCTGCTATTCTCTTAGAGAAGTCTGGTACCAATTTGCCAACTTGGTAGGATGGAAGGTTTGGTGCGTCACGGGCGCAGGAATCGATCCCACTTGCGTGTTGCAGGGCGCCTCCGACCAGTGCGCTACACGCGCCAATGGTGTTGCATAATACTTTTTGTAATCATTAATGCTTATGACGCATTTTATTATTGGCACCCAGTTTCATTTTTCTGTATTATTTATAGAAATTTCTATCTGCTTCTCACGTCATTCCGTCACCATCATTCTTATCATTTCTTGATGATAATACAGTGAAACTACCACTTAATGGATTCTTTTTCTTATAGTACAAAGCGGCCTTATGGGAGACGTTCACAATAGATCGTGATACATTCGTAGTGTATGATAATTCGAATCTATACGTGTATTTGCTTAACAGGAGTCATATTGAAGGTAAGGGAATTAGGAATTTCAGGAAGTTCCATCGAATTTCCATTTTCTCTCGGTAATCATCTACAATGTCTAGATTAATTTACTCTAGTTCTTTGAATGCATTGTAGTCCACAGAAGCATTGATCATTATTGAATGTAACGAGCGAGAAATGTGGAGATTTTAGGTGAATCTGTACTCTATGTTGGCAGTACGAAACTTCCCTTCGTTCATTATCCTCTTATGCTGAGTAAGGTATGCGTTTTTAAAGGTTTGATGTCCAAATTTTCTTGGCAAACGCGATGTAAAACTTAAACAATTTTAGGCATTGCCTTGTTCGTAGTTTAGATCAAGTCTAATGTTTTAGGGGATAGTGCACTGTCTTACTTCGTCAGGTAAGACAAGTGGCGTTTTGTTGGACAGTCATCGGACCGACACAGTACTGGAAGGCAAACCGCCAGCAGTCGTAGGTTTTTGTTATTTTTTGAGGTAGTTGATGGACGAAACCTTACAGAATAGACTTTCTGAAAGATTTTGTTTTTTTGAGGCAATGTTACAATGAAAACACTGCATCTAGTTAAATGGATTTCACTGTAATTTGTTCAACTTTGTAAATAATGATAGTTACTCTTTAAAAATCCCCGTTTCCAGATTCATGACCTTCTTAAACAGGCTCTGCAACTGAAGAGGTCAGTTTTAGCCAAGCCTCATTCTTGTTTACAGTTCGTTTACAGAAGTGCTATAAATTCTATTTGTTAATCCGTTCGCGATTTTTCGACAACTGGCGGCAGTTTTTCTATCACTGGTGTATGGAGGACTTGAAGAGTATAGGAAGTGTGAATACAATTTTATGAAACATTATTTCGATTTTTGTTTTGTTTAAAGTCAAGTAATCTATTTTCAGTATTTATTTAATCTATAATAGTAGTGGGCGCGTTTGGCGCAGTGGTTGGAGGCGCCCTGTAACACACATGTGGAATCGTTCTTCGCGCCCATGACCCACCAAGCCTTCATTCTCTCCAGGATCGGCAAATTGATACCAGATTTGTCTGAGAAAATAGCAATTTTGGCTGGATACATCGGTATGCTACCGCGAGTCATTGTAAAAACCACATATGCATTCAATCACTTTCAAACGATGCTTAATGAAGTCGAATGCATGGCGCATCCCTCATGGATTATCACCGTCGAGAGCTTTACCCTTTATCCTTTTTATAATAGTAGTAGTGAAAGAAAATAGGATTGTTGACTACCATCTCCACGTTTATTGCTGAAATGAAGGACAACAATGTTTGAACACCATGGTCATTTATAGCAATGTTTAAAGGAATCAGTTATTAACCCATCAATTTCTTCTCTATGGCCATGCTAGCTGACATAGGCAAGTTATCAAATTTCCAGTATATATGGAACCAGTACAGCGAAAGTAGGTAGTTCGAGAATTTCTGCGGCTCTATTTTCATCAGTTTCTGATGACAATTTTTATCACCGTGAGCAGTTTTTAGATTACAGCATAGTGCAGTGGGGTTGGACCATAAGTGGAGGAAAGCTTGGTACGGTATGTATAGTTGCTGGGTTTTCCTTAAAAGTCGCTATCCATGATGTTTTTGACTGGATGCCGTTGTTGCTCTTGATCTGGCCAATTATTCAATGGTGCCGGCATGATTGTGGTTGAAGTTGTTGAGATTGGCATCAGTGTCGGTGTAATGATTTGTTGTTGAGCTAAAGGAAACATTAGATTGGTTTAGAACTTCTTATCTGGAAAAAATTGCAAGTAAGTTGACTTTGTCGTTTTTCGTGGGTCAAATTAGTTTTGCAGGATTAGTTTTTGAGAAAGACGTTTTCAAATAAGAAAGGACGGGATTCACAGTCTTGAATGACATCATGAAAATACCGTGATGCATTTTTGCTCCGCTTCTCAGATAATCAAAACATAGAGTGCGTCTTTTTATTTCACATACTTGTTGCGCCAGCTGGTGAAAAATCTTGTTTTGTATCCCAGAAGAAAACTACTTTCAAGTTGTTGATGCTCAGGAAGTAATGAATTGGCTGTCCTAGGAGCGCTGGCTTCCTCGATCATAGTGGGTAAATCAGTGAAATGAAATTTGGTGAAGTACCTACTATTGCATACTGTCAGTGGATTGAGTGAAAGAAGATCTACGAATGAAATCTGCATGGATTTTTGGTTCCGAGTCTGCTTCCCATCTCGTTACGTGAGGATCGAAATTAATGCATGTGAATTCTGTTTTGATTTGTCATAATGGAACAGCTGATGGGATATTTCAAACAAAAGGAATATAAAACGTACAGAGAAGAACATTCGACCAAAGCGACGGTATACACAATGACATTATAAAACGACTTACGTGGTGGCTGCAACGAGTCTAACCGTACAGGTGGTTGAGTGACTTGTGTTCGATAGGAAGGAATTTGTGGACGAGCACCTGTAAAAGACAAAGAGTATTTCCACTTTTATTCCAATGTTGCGCTATACAGTTTAGAATCGTGTGATCTGAATTGGAAGGACAGTTGTCTTAGCCAGTTTTCTACCTAAGGCAGTAGAAAATAATAATAGGCAATAAACAAAAAATTGACATTGTGATTTCAACTACAGCCTAAGCTTAACGAAGTTTAATGACGATTTGTGCTCCCAAATCAGTCCCATTAATGAGCAATTGGTGATAGCAGCGTTCGTGAGACTTCGGAAAGGTAATCGCAATTTAGTCCGCCCTGGAGTCCAAGTTTTGGAAATACCTCAGTATCATAGTGGTTGCAATTTGCATCATACCTTGTCGTGTAAAACAGTAATAGGCAGTAAGCAGAAAGTTAACATTGGAAGAACAATGTTTAACGTTTTGTTTTCTGCCTTCTATAATTTTCATGGCAGGTTACTAAGTTCTATGCCGATTTGCGCTCCCCAGATCAACCCCGCTGACGGGTGATTGCTGTGGCAAAAAGATCGATAGAAATAGCTGAGAGACGTGCGAAACAAAGGACCCGCATGGTGTGGTGGTGAACGCGTTACTCCCCGGAAAGGACAATAGTGCTTTCGTTCCCCACCATAGACACCTGCGGTCCAGAGTTTTGCAAATATCTCAGCAACGTTGTGGTTGTATTGGAAGAACAGTTTTCGTTAGAACAGTACACTCACTTGATTCTCTTCCATTTCCGTTGCCTAGCATTCCATTGTCATAAAAGACATTATTGTCGATATAATTCCGCTGAAATGTGCTCTATCTTTGCTTTTATTACCATGAGAATAGTTCTTAACACTTCTCAGCTTGCTTTCTACTGACAGGTTATTCCAGTAGTATTAATGCTTAAAGACATAACTGCTACCTGGAAAATGTCGCTTGATGGATACTGACCAGCGGTAATAAGCTTAGACTTTTTGTAAAATTTGAAAAGAACCACGGCAAGAATCGCTCCTAGTAGAAGTCCCTAAATCGGAATTTTTAAAGCTAATAGCCTTATGCCACATAAAGCGCATGAGGCAGCAAAGCGAACGGAATTGTTTTATGTTGCACGTTCGTTGCTCAGTAATCTTGGATATGGGCAATTTTATAATTCATTTTGCTTATCTTGGAGTAGTTTTTTCGGCTTAGACATGTTTTCTCCAGTGAACGGTTTTTCAAAGCTGACTATTTTTCCGGTTATTGACTCCAAAAACTATAAATTGCTGCAGTACCCCGCCTATGCAAACTTACTGGTTTTTTTTCTTGAGGAAATATTGCAAAGGTAGGGAAGATAAATTTAATTAGGAGGTTTTCGAATTATACAGGATATTTTCCTAAAGCTTTAATGATAAGTTTTGGTGATCAAGTTTAGTCATTCCACTCTTTTAAGTTCTCCATTTACATTACTTGCACTACTAGATTTAGCCAGCGAACCTCAATTACGGCAACGGCAACAGCTTGACTGTTTCTGTTTACGTAGACTGGCGCTTGTCCCATTTGGAACTGCAAATAGCCTATAGTGATCGTAATTACAGCCGATGTCGGAGCCGGTGTTTGTATTTTAGTAGTTGTTGGTGTAGTAGGAGTAGTAGGAGTTGTCGTCGTTAGTGTTATAGTAGCACTTGTCGTCATTGCTGCTGTAGTAGGAGTATCAGTAGCAGCAGACGTCGCCAATTTAGTAGTGACTCTGCTAACACTTTCGATTTACTAAATAAACGTCTTGCATTCGAGTTATCTGAAAACTCACCTAGGAGTTTCGTGCTGATTGCCAACGTCTGATTGTTCTGAAATATTTTCAAACTAATTCAAACGACCGGCTTGCTATAAACCTGGGCATAGCATAAATAGTTGGCATATTTATTTATATGGTCTTATAAACTGATCTCATTGAGCTGATGCGAGGTTGGTGTGAGTTTTCGTTGTCGTTGTCGTTGTTGTTGGCGTTGTTGGTCGATGCCTGACGTTTCGGTGATTTTGCCATCCCCAGAGCCTGGACGTATTTTATACAATAATAGCCTTACATTCGACCTATAGTATTCATGACGGCTCACCTAGGTCAAAAAATCATTTTGAAATAAGACGCCAGACCACGTGTGATAGTGAGAGGCATTCTTCTTTCCGGTTCTTCTTTGGATTTTTGAAATTTATCCAAAACGCCTCAAGAGTTTTGCGCGCTGATGTTTTTGATGTGCGCGAAAATCATCGCCATTGTGCTTTTGTGCCCTACGTGCACCTAGAGGAGTGCTTTGACGAATCTTAACTCTCCAGTACAGGTATTTTTTTTATGTGTACATAAAGCGGTCTACCCGCTTCCCGAATGTATTCCTCGCCGTGTGCCTTATACGTGCTCAAGTATATTATGCCTGAACTCATGGCAATTTCCGTCTCTTCCGTTACAGATCATACTGTTTTCTGAGCTGCAAAATGATCATAAAGACGATTGCGGACTAATTAACGGCGTAGGGTACTCGGTGACGGTCGGTAATCGGCACATAAATTTCAAGACCACTTTTTCTTAGGCCCCTTCACACATGCAAAAGCCCCTTTTCATCCTTCACACATGCAAAAGCACTAATCAAAAACTTATACCGAACAACTCAAAACGTGTGCACAGGAGAAGAGGGAAGGAAGGAATCGCTAAACCTGGCACGAAAAATAGCCATTTCCAATAGTTACAAAGCAGAAGCCACTCGAGTCGGGCAAAAAGGTGGAATCGTTTCCCAAAATAACGTTTCGAACCTAAATGAGATCCATTTTATGCTACACTTCATATCAAACGAATAATTTACGCCATTCAGAGGTGCCTAAGAAAAGTGGTCTTTAAAATTATGTAACGATTATTGACATCCCACCCAATACCCTACGCCGTTAATTAGTCCGCAATCGTCTTTATGATCATTTTGCAGCTCAGAAAACAGTATGATCTGTAACGGAAGAGACGGAAATTGCCATGAGTTCAGGCATAATATACTTGAGCACGTATAAGGCACACGGCGAGGAATACATTCGGGAAGCGGGTAGACCGCTTTATGTACTCATTAAAAAACACCTGTACGGGAGAGTTAAGATTCGTCAAAACACTCTTCTAGGTACACGGACACAAAAGCACAATGGCGATGATTTTAAAGTGACTATGCGGATCCTTGCGCAGAAATCAGAAACGTAAATGCGCAAGAGTTTTGAGGCGCTTTGGATAAATTTCAAAAATCCAAATATGAACCGGAAAGAAAAGTGCCTCTCACTATCACACGTGGTCTGGCGTCTTATTTCAAAATGGTTTTTTGACCTAGGTGAGTCTCGTTCGCCATCATATGTGAACAACATGAGGGCAGTCCCATTTGTAATAGCACGGTAAGTAGTGTTTTGGACCAACATAGCGTTTATTTAAATGGCTGATCTTCATGAATACTATAGGTATTTCATCGAATATAAGGCTATTGTTATATAGAATACGTCCAGGCTCTGAGGATGGCAAAATCGCCGAAACGTCAGGCATCGACCAACAACACCAACAACAACGACAACGACAACGAAAACTCACACCAACCTCGCATCAGCTCAATTTATCTCAGTCTCAGCTCAGTTTATAACGATATGTAAATAAACATTTTGGAATTTCGTGTGCTGTTGCAACCAAAATCCGCTGTACCTCAAACAGGGTCTCTATATGAAATAATTCTTCATTAATTTATTTATTTACAATGTCGTCCTTCACATATTGTGAGAATACCAGCACTTTAGCTCAGTTCGTTCTCTTGCATCTGTTATTCACGAATGTCTTCTAGTTTGTTAATAGGTTCGTCTGTCACCTGACGACTACCCTCCTTTGCGAATGGCGGTAGATGTTGGTTGAGTTCATGCTCTTTGGAATTTTGGAATACTTCTACTAAAGTGTTCTCGGGTCATTACCATAGTCGGACTCTAGCTTTAGTGGATCGAACCAGTTGACGAAAACAATCAAATGGCTCCTGTTCGATAACGAACATTCGTGAAACAATGAAATAGATTTACAATCAGATTAATGAAAACGAATGAAAACTTCAAAAACGCATCGCTGTGTATAATAATGAACGGAACGAGTCATAAACAGGATGAAAGCCGAAGTGAGAAATGTCGAAGCAGTGTTGATTAATTGTGCTGCATCAGTGGGCCACCCTGACAGCAAAGTTCCTACTGTGTTCAATCATGTGGATGACCCGAAGTAGGTAAAGAAAAAGTAATTGATCCACGTTTTGTTTCTATTTAGTGTACGTTATTTTTTAAGGCAAGGTATGATGTGAAACACAACCACTACGATGTTGAGATATTTGCAAAACGTGGACCGCAGGCTGGATCGAACTTGCGATTATCCCTTCCGAGGCCGACGTCTTATCTAATTCACTACCTAGGCCCTTATTTTGCCTTCTTAGCCAGTTTTCTAACTAATGGTGCCAACAACAGTCAAATAGCTCAGAGAAAAGCAATGCATGGGCTTCATTGATGCAATAGGTAGCATATCGGCCCTGGAAGTGGTAATCACAAGTTCAATCAAGCCTGAGGTCCACGTTTTGCAAATATCTAAATCTCATAGTGGTTGTATTTCACATTAAACCGTACCGTGAGAAATAATAATAGGCAACAAATAAACTTAATGCCGATTTGTACTTCCCAGATCATTCCGTTTACTGGTGATTGCTGATGGCTGGCAGCATTAGGTAGAAAACTGGCTGGAAGAAGGGCAATACAAGGACCTCGCTTGTGCTGTGGGTGACACGTGAGATTCCAGGAAATGGTAGTCGTGGGTTCGAATCTGGCTAGGGTACAAATTTTGCTAATATCTCAGCGTCATCGTGGTTGTGTTTCACAATGGATTTAGCTGAAAACATATGAATCCACCTTACCGAAGTCTGAGCGCGTGGCGAAACGTTGAAGTTTATGAGAACCCATGCGACATATATGTCGGCGCATCAAGCCTGAATACTTGGATGGCTCGTCTTCACTGGTTGTTTTGACGCCATGTGACTAGTTTTATCCTAGGATAGTGGTGGATCCTGGTTTTGGTTTGCTCTTAGCTGGGCTTCGTGATGGAAACGCCGAACTCCTTTTAACCTTGGGAGATCTTACCGTGGGGTGAATCTCCCCACTGAACATCACAGCCCAACACCCAGAAACAACTTCCAGCCACGACGCGGAAGTAAAACGGTAGGGAGGCACCAAACTCACCAGTTATTCTAACTCCAGAATTCAATGCAGTATTATGCGCTTGTGGTACATTTGAAAACACATTAGAGAAAGAATGACCAGTAAGCCCTCACGAATAGGGCAGGCGAAAGAGCACCTATTCAATTTGCGCGCCACTGTGAGAATGCCACAGTTGACGATAACGTAACACGATTGAATTAGATCCTTTGTAAAAACTGGCTTGCCTATGTCCGATGTACTTTCGCGCATCGAATCAACTGTCATGCTGCTCTAACTACGGGATTTTAGATGCTTCTACTAAATTCTGGATTTTTCCTACTGAAGTCCGGATTTTTTCCCTCCATGTAGTAGAATCCATTTGTCCGTCAAACCCTCCATTCACATGCACAACCTCGGCCACTGTTATATATCGCGCACAATAGCATTATAATCTGTGATTCATTAAAGCTATTCCTTTCTTGAACATTCTGCAGTGTTAATTTTGCTACGATGTCACTTTTTGTACTTTGTACGAAGAAAATTTTATTATCCTAAGATGGTATCCAAGCTGCGATACTCACACCTGCGAGGCCAATTACAAGAGAACGACCATTCTCTACTAAATCAATTCGCAAAATAAGTTTATGGAACATTTTTCGACGCAACGTTTTCATATAGGAATGAATTTAATGTCAAACATTTCTGACAGACATTCTTCTATGACTGCTAGAAATAAAGCGAGATAATGTGATGTCGCTGTTTGGCAAACAGTTCCTTTACCATTTTAACTTATTATTTACTGTCTACTCTTTTTAACGGCAGGGTATACATTGTGAAATATAACATCAATGATGCTGAGATATTTGCAAAACTCCGGACTGCAGGTGTCCGGTGGCATGGCAAAAGGCAAAAGGATAATGGCAAAAGATCGATAGAACTAGCTGAGAGACAGATGAAACGAAGGACCTGCGTGGTGTGGTGGTGAACACTCCACTCCCCGGAAAGGACAATAGCGCTTTCGTTCCCCACCGCATACACCTGCGGTCCGGAGTTTTGCAAATATCTCAGCATCATTGAAGTTTCTTTACCAATTCAGAATGGGTTTCTGATCGGTATGAGGTTTGCTGAAGATGCTCTACTATTTAGCTTGAGTAAAGTGATGGATTGTTTTTTGTAAGCCAATGGAACATTTAAAAATGAACGAACTGATTGGTTCTTAACGCCTTAGAAAAAGAATTATTTTAGGTGAATTCTTCATTCCAAAAACCAAAGTTAAAAGGTGGTTCCGAACTATCAATGGGTTTTTAGAAAGTTTTCATTTTTAAGTGCTTTGAGAGGGTTTCGTGCCTCTTTTGTACCTTGTGCTGAAGAGTTGAGAGTTATGTTACTGGATATCGTCAACGGCGTGTTCAGAGTGTTGTCAATAGTGAAAGAAGAAGTAAGATTTCCACTACTGCATTCTATTAGCCATTTCAATTCCTTGCCCTTCACGGATATAGGTTGAGTCTGAAAATTCGTATATTTACATATTATCTAATGCCTCATGATCTT